GGATATAATGACATGAGGTAGTACCAGGAGTGCCCAGGCGTCCTGGGCCATCTGTTATGAGTTTCTTTTGGACGGATTCCAAGATGAGACTTGCGATTGGACCATCCCATTCTGCTGTTTGAAGCTGCTTTTGTGTATGTTTGTTTTGTTTTATTTGGCTTTGGGGCCAACCCAGTTGTGCATGAGGAGTACTCAAATCTCAGTGCTCAATGCTCATACCTGACAGGTCTAGGTGACCAATGGGATGCTGGAGGTCCAAAAGTTTCATCTTGGGTTTTCTGTTTTACTTGGGGTGGCAGAGCAAGGATTCTCGCAATCATTCCTTTCGCTACACTCTGACATTGCCCCTGGCAGTGCTTCTGGGACCATATGGGATGTTGGGGATTGCCAGTCCTACATGCTGTCCCCGGAACAGCTGTCCTGTTATGCCAACCTGCTGCTTTGGTTTCTTTTGCATTGTTTTTGTCATCAGCTGTCTTCTTGACTCTGTGCTCTGGATTCACCATTGACTGGCCTCAGAGCACCCTGGGGTGTGCCAGCCCCGTTTGCGCCCTGGCAACTACAGTGGCTAGGGCCCCCAGACTTGGTTTTCTCCTGTTTTGTCCTCCCTACTTTGGAGAGACTACCTGCTCGGTCATATAGTCTTACATTCACATAATCCTGTGTGTGGATTTCTGGGCATGTGCCGATCCCAAGGAGAAAGCCAAGGATCTCTGAGATCAGTAGAGATGTTGGGGTCCTGAAACTTCTACCTTCTTTGAGCGGGATTTGGGGCGGTCCTGAGCAGTGAGTTCCTACAGGCACACATGCCATACACTGCTCCGAGCAGTTGTCTATATGTACTGTCGAGTTCTCAATCCTAGTGGTCATGTGCTTTGGGGGTGCAGCGGTGAATATGCAGTGTTTTTTGCTACACCCAGGGATAGTGTTTTGGATCGTACTAGTCTGTGTTCAGGTGATCCTCTCTACAGTGCTCACTGGACCAGTGGTGCTCGAATTGGCCCTGGGGTTACCAGGAAAGTCAGATACTTCCAAGAACCTTCTGTATAACGTCCTCCCACTTTAGCAGATCCAGCTGCCTTATGTGATTTCTGGGGCCCGTCAGCCATGCCTGTGCATGGAGGCTGGTTCATTCGGAGGGGAGAAGCCCAGTGACAATATAGATCCCTGGGACCTGGCCTCAGAGTAGTGGTAATGAGGCTAAGATGGACTCTGACTCCCACCCTCTCCGTGTGCTGACTCAGGATGTAGTGACCTTCCATGACGTGGCTGTGAACTTCACCCTGGAGGAATGGTCATGCCTGGAGGCCTCTCAGCGGAAGCTGTACAGGGACGTGATGCTGGAGACATACCAGCATCTGCAGGCTGTCGGTGAGAGCAGTGTGGAGCCAACCGTGTCTGAACAGACCGGCGTGGGCTCCCTGGGCGGCAGCTGTGTGTCCAGCAGTAGCTCTTCCCTCCCTCGTTTTTTTGGGGGGTTCACCTGTGGATACTCAGGGCTTACTCTCAGCTTTCTTCTCAGGAATTACTCTTGTGGGGTAGCCGGAACCTGTGGTGTGATTCAGATCAATCCATTTCGACTGTGTCCATGGGAAGATCCCTATCTGCCCATTTATCGCTCAGGTCCCTTTAAATAGTTCCATCCATTGGTGAATCAATTTACTTTGTATACTACACGAACTTTTGTATGTTTAATTGGTTTTGCTTTTGCCTTTGTTTGGGGGCACAGCCCACAGTTCTCCTGGCTCTGTGCTAAGGGATGACTGCTAAGACTGCTCAGGGGCCATGAGGTACCGTGGACTGAAACCTCTTGGCAACTTAAAATGTTGGTGTCACACCCCCAGTACTTTTGCACCAGTCACTCAACTGTTTTTGCATTTTCTTTTTTCCTTAGGGATTAGGGATTATTACTGCCTCTGTATTCAGGATCCACACCAGGCCTTGCTCCAAGACCATATGGCTGCCTGGGATCAAACCCACATGTGTGTGCAGCGCTTCTGACCTATGTGCTATACTATCTCTCTCCCACCACAGGGGATTTGATATCTCGTCTCTCAACTCATTAGATGCTGCCCTATTTCAGTGCTTGGATTTACTTCTAATTTTTCTTGTGAGACTTCAGCAGGACTTAGGGTTTGCTCCTGGACTCTGCACTCAGGGATCACTCCTGGCTGGCATGACGGACCCTAGGAGATATCGTGTATCACAGCTGGATTGTCCATGAGAAACTCCTGCTCTGCTCTCTTTCTGGATACAGTTTTTAGCTTTAAAAAATAAGGGTCTCTTGCCACCCTTGGCCATTTCCAGATTTATTATGCACTTAGTTTTACTGAAATCCGTGATGAGTTCATGAGGGGCTCAGGAAACTCCATGTGCTGCTGTGCCTATAAAGACAGTACAGGGAGGAAAGTGATTTTCTTGCAAGCAGCACACGTGGGTTAAATCCCCGGCAGCCCATGTCATTCTCGAGCACCAGCAGCAGTGATTTCTGAATACAGAGTCAGGAGTCACCCCTGAGCATTTCCAGGTGAGACCCCAAACAAAACAAAAACCAACAACATATTGTGCTGAACAACCCCCTGTCGGCCATACACAAGGCCAGGTCCAGAGTATTTGTGATATTTTCTTGGGTCTTAACTCTCGAATAACTAGAAATATGTGGCATTTTGGAAATGGGCATTCGGTTCATGTCTTTCATATATTTGCCAAGTTATATCAGGAAAACTTATGCATTTACCTGCCATCTTTTCCCTGTGACTTATCCATGCCTCTGTCTCTGTCGGGGCAGGGTACTCTGGGATGAAGCCTGCGGTGATCTCCTGGCTGGAAGGAGGAGCCCTGAGGTCGGGGAGGAGAGGCATGTGTGCAGGTGAGTGTCTGAAGACACTTTCTGGCTCAGGCCCTGTGCAGTGTATGGGTGCCCTGAGCATGTATGAAACACACTGCTGAGATTGGGTCCTTGGTCTCCTGAATACTTGGTTCTGTCCTGCACACACACTCCTCTTGATTCCCTTGGAATGTCAGTGACAGAATGATCCTGTAATTTGTAATTTGTAATGTCCATGGCTTTCGGATAAGTAAGACCATAACAGAGCTAGTTTGGATCTGAATGATAGTACAGCAGGGAGTGCCTTGCAGTGCCTGAAGGTGATCTGTTCAATAATGTGTTCAATAACCTGGTTCTCCGAACATCACCAGGTCTGCTCAAAAGCAAAAACAATATCTAGTGTAGAATTGCCAAGATCCTCACAGTTTTCCACTATCGAATCTTTTCTTTAGTGTGGGACTCTTTGGACTTTGAGAACCACAGATATGTACTCTTAACTACATCGCATCATTTTGCTACATTTTTGGACAAGTGCTTGAATTGCATGTTTTGTTCAGTTTCAGAACTAAAACCGTGGCTTCAGGATTTGGCATTACAGCACTTTGATTTGGGAATGGGGTCTGCAAGTATGAGTGAGTTGGTAAGATTCGATAATTCAGAATAAAAATTATTATGCCAGCATGAGTGGAACAAGTATGTGATTGTTAAGGTGGACGTCTGGGAATGGCAGGGAAGAATTCCAAATCCTGATCCTTGGAGTAGAGGACCCTTAGCTTCACTAGGTGCTGAAATCAACCATGTATAAAAAATACTGTGAGTTTTGATTTGCTTGACAGTGGTAGTTGTTTAGAAAGCTAATTCGTGGGCCCTGTAGATAGGGCAGTGAGAAATATACTTGCTTTGCACAGGGATGGATGGTCCTTACCCAGCATGCCTTATAGACACCATAGACCCACAGAACTGATCCTAGACACTGCATGGTGTGCCCCTCCACCCACTCAACCCCCAATAAATAGAAACTACAAAACAGAAAGATAAGAAAACTTCATTGATCCTAAAAGGCATCACTTGCGGTGAGAGCTTTGCAAAGGCCACATGGTCTGTTTCAGCTGCGTGATGATGCAGCGTTGTCTTCACCCCTGCATCACAGGTTCCAATCTGCGCTTTAACCAAACCCACTGTGGATGTATTTCATTTTCTCTTGAAATGGATGCATCTGTTTTCTATAGAAGGAATTATTTGTAGTTGTATACCTTCATTAATTTAAAGGTGGGAAAGTCACAGAATTTACTGACTCTCTATCCATCAATTTTGTGAGTCCAACTTACAGTAACATGAAATTCTTCAATAGTAAGACAATTCATATGTCAGTAATTGCATTTGTGCGGTGCATATGTGTGAAACCACATCTGAAGGGCTCAGTTTTTTGACAGGAAGACTCAGTGAATAATGCAATAATTAGAATCCTCTTGTTGTTCTACAGGAAAGTTGCCACCCAGAATGGAATGTCTCTGATCCTGCACTGTATGATAATGTCTCGAGAGAGCAATCCTGCCCTCAGCCCCATGAGGATGCCGAGACAGGCGGAATGTCTTCTGAGGGTGATCAGAATAGCGAGGGCTACCTCACTCTGAAGAAGCCCTCTCCTGGAAAAAGTTCCTTGGAGTGTGTTATTCTCAGTTCACAGACAAAAAATTCCCCAGTGGGGCACCTGCTAGGGAAAGGAGCACTGTTTATAGTGAGTCCCTCACAGCAACATACCCTCAACCACAGTTACCATGAGCAGAACCCATCTACGTGTAAGGAATGTTGGGGAGCCTCCCCATGTTCTCAGCACTGTTGTGTTCACTTAGAAAACCATAGTGGACAGAATCCCCAGAAAAGTCAGCCCGGAGAACAAAGTGTGAGTCATGACCATATGAATATAAATTCAGGAGTGAAACCTTTTTCATGTGAAGAATGTGGGAAGGCCTTCGATGAATCATCACATCTTATTATGCATAGGAGAATTCATACAGGAGAGAAATCTCATGAATGTCAGACATGTGGCAAGGCCTTTATTCAGAACTTCAGTCTTAATAGACCTATGAAAACTCATAGTGGAGAAAAGCCTTATATATGTCAGGAGTGTGCTAATGCCTATACTCGATCCTCAGGCCTCAATATACATAGAAGTATTCACACTGGAGAGAAACCTTATATATGTAAGGAATGTGGAAAAGCCTTTGCTAGAGCCTCAAGACTTACTGTACATAGGAGAATTCACACTGGAGAGAAACCGTATATATGTAAGGAATGTGGGAAGGCCTTTACTGAATCCTCAAGCCTTAGTGTACATAGGAGAATTCACACAGGAGAGAAACCGTATATATGTAAGGAATGTGGAAAGGCCTTTGCTGTAGCCTCACGACTTAGTGTACATAGGAAAATTCATACGGGGGTGAAACCGTATATATGTAAGGAATGTGGAAAGACCTTTGCTTGGGCCTCCACATTTAATAAACATAGGAAAATTCACACTGGACTGAAACCGTATATATGTAAGGAATGTGGAAAGGCATTTGCTTTGGCCTCAAGACTTAGTGTACATAGGAGAATTCACACTGGAGAGAAACCGTATATATGTAAGGAATGTGGGAAGTCCTTTGCTGAATCCTCAAAGCTTAGTGTACATAGGAGAATTCACACTGGAGAGAAACCATATATATGTAAGGAATGCGGAAAGGCCTTTACTGTATCCACACAATTGAGTGCACATAGGAGAATTCACACTGGAGAGAAACCGTATATATGTAAGGAATGTGGAAAGGCCTTTGCTGAAGCCTCAACACTTCGTGTACATAGGAGAATTCACACTGGAGAGAAACCATATATATGTAAGCAATGTGGAAAGGCCTTTGTTGGAGCCTCAAGACTTAATTCACATATGAAAATTCATCTAAGAGTGAAACCTCATCAGTGTCAGACATGTGGGAAGGCATTCACATGGTTCTATTCTCTTACTCTACATATGAGAATTCATAATGGAGAGAAGCCTTAGATATGTCTGGAGTGCGGGAAGGCCTTTACGTAATCCTCACAATTGACTGTACATAGGAGAATTCACAGTGGAGAGAAACCGTATATATGTAAGGAATATGGGAAGTCCTTTACTGAAGCCTGCTGATTTTCACCCTGGCTGCACCTATGCCAGTATTCTTGTGCTTGGAATTGCTTGTGTGTTAACTTGTAAATAATGGGTCATGGTGATGAAAATAAGGAGGAAGGTGACTGAATAAACAGGTACAGAAACACCCTCCTGCTCAGAGCTGTCATGGCTCACTTCTCTGTTATTGTTTGCTATGCTTCTAGCTTGGCCCAGTTGGGCTGCTTAGCGGAAATTATGGCAGAAATCAACCAAGATGCAGCTTTGAATACTTTGAAAATGGAAAAACAGGTAAACCTTCATTCTTCAGTCTTTCCTGGGTTAGGATTTGGAATGCTTGAGCACCCTGAAAATCCTGGTTTGGGAACTTGAGCGTCAGGTCACACCTGCTTGTATTGTGCATTCACACTTGTTTCTTACTTGTTTTGGATATCCAGGCTTTAGTGGATGTGGAGCTTTTTAGGGGTGCATTGGGGGCTGTTCTGTGGCTCAGGTGTCATGGGTGAGGGTGCGTTATCCTGAGGGCCCCTGCAGCCACGATCGCATCCAGGTCAAAGATGGCACTGGGATGGTGGGCACATGGATTTCAGGCCTTGGTGTGGGGAGCCTGCAAAGAGTGGGGGTCTTGGCCATCTCACTCCTCCCTACTCGAGACTGCGAAGGACCCTGTTTGGAGCCTTTGGACTGGACATAACACCTATCGAAGCTCCGGATATGTTCACGAGAAGCCCCCAAAAGAAAGGGACACTTTTGCCATCGGTCATTTTCATTGGCTTCAGTGCTGGGCTTGGTACTTTGGGGCGTGTTTGGACAAATGAGAGGTATTTGCCTCTGAAAATTCACTCTTTGGATTATATATATATATATATATATATATATATATTTTGCTTTTTGGGTCACAGTTTTTCACATGGGTTTCTCGTGACTTATGCACTCAGGAATTAATCCTGGTAAAGTTCAGGGGACCATATTCTTGCTGGTATTCGAACCCGAGTTGGTCACATGCAAGTCAAATGTCCTACCCGCTCTGCTATCACTTCAGCCCCTCTTTGGATTAATTTGAATAGCTGCTTTTATTCAGGGGAATTGGAAGGGATTCTTTGATGCTCGAGGTTTACTTCTGGTTGTGCATCTCAGGAATTATTCTGTGTTGCTATTGGGTTCCTATGGGATGGGGAGGTTTGTCCTGGATCAGCAAGGCAACCATCCTAGTCGCTTCACAGTGAGTCCAGCCCCACTATTGGTGTTTTTCCCCATATATAGAATTTCTACTTCCCGGGTGTATGGTACCGCCAGCAGGTCAATCTGTGCCTGTAAGTCGAGTGCATCAGCAGCCTGATGGCACCGTCAGACTTCCAGATACTCCAAAATTGCTGCTGTGCCTTTGGCCAGAATCCAAAAACTTTGGGCAAAATCTTCCAAGAAATTGAACGGCCAAAAGTTAGGTTTGTGTGAGACACACCAACAAACCATTTCCGGCTCAGCTGTATAATTGGAGGCAAGGTCTCTCTGGTTCCTGATCAAACTGCTTAAAGGCTATGATCCCAGAGACTCAGAGACAAATCTCGGAACCCAGTGGCTTTCTGCAGAGATGCACCCTGTTCCTGCAATGAGCTATCGGCGACAGACCACCACAAGGGGGAAAGGGTGTGTGTCTCTGCCTGATACCACTTGGTGGCTCGGTGTCCACCATATTCCAGAGGGCATTGGATAGACAGGTTTGGGCCTGCAGTGACAAGACATGCGGGGCCTCATGGGATTGGGGTGGACTCTGCACATTCCTCCCCACCTCAGTGAGACCCTGAGTCGCTGCCCATGTACAGACTCTCTGGCTCTTGATCACTCTGTTTAATGGCCATGATCCCAGAATCTCAGAAACAAATCTCGGAACACAGCGGCTTTCAGCAGAAATGTGTCTGGTCCCCTCAGTAGGTTAGCAAAGCTGGGTATTTCAGTTGGGAATAGGTTTCGTGCCTGGCGGTTCAGTGGCCGCCATCACTAAGGGCTTCTGCACGGTTAGGTTTGGGACTGCAGTGAGGAGACATGCAGGGCCTAACAGGATGGTGGTGGAGCCGGCCCTTTTTTCCCCACCCCAAATAAAACCCCGGGTTGTCTGGCACCTACGATTGACCTCTGTGTCTTGTGATCAAGGTACGTAATGACCATGATCCCAGAGATTCAGAGACAAATCTCGAAACCCAGTGCCTTTTAGCAGAAATGTGTCTGCACCCCTCATTAGGTTACTGTCCCCAATCCACCCCAGGGGGAATTGGTGCTGTCCCTCCAACTGCTTCCCCTTGTCAGCTCGGTGGCCTCCATCCTCCGAAGGCCTTTGGAAAGTCTGGTTTGGGCCCACACTCATGAAGATACGTGAGGCCTCTCAGGATGGGGTGGAGACGGCCAATTCCTCCCCACCCCAACAAGAGCCTAAGTTATTCCCACGAACCACCTCTCTGGCTCTTGATAAGGCAGTTTAATGGTCATAATCCCAAAGACTCAGGAACAAATCTCGGAACCCAGCAGGTTTTGGCAGAAATCCCTCCAGATTTAGTTGTTAAAATTTCAGAATTCCAAAATCATATGTTATTTATAACCAGCAATCGAAAAAGGATTGTCTACTGTTGCGTTTTCGCCAGATATGAATGCTGGGGTAAAATCCCAAATAATAATGGTGGGTCTCGAACCAAATTTTGAATGTAATCAAAGTAGAAAGAAGAATGTCGAAATTATCTGCCCCACTGGTAGAGGAAGACTGTGGAATGGCGTTATACTTGGGTTTTTATTGGTGGAAAATGGGCTCGATGAAAGGACGGGTGTTTCATTGTATGACCGAGACTTTAACCTGAAAGCTTTCTAAGTGCTCTCCCATTTTTTCCCGTTTTCTCCCATTTATTTAGAAATTGCCAGAGCAATTGTAGAGCAAGTAGGATGCTTACCTTGCATGTGTCCAACACAGGAGTCCTCCAGTCCACAACATCTTTGAGTTAATCATTGGACAATGAGTGTCCCCTTCTCATCCCTAGAACATATTATGTGGGGACGTGGCATGGGGTAGAGGTGTCTTCTCCCTGGAGTTCTTCATTATGGAGAGATCCTGTGCTTTGCCCTCTTAATTTGTTGTCATTCTTCCTCATCTCTCAGGTATGTCGAGTAGTCAGTGTGTTTTAAGGCCCTTGTTTTCCTGGCTGTATAACAAGCCTGACTGTTCATCTAAAGGGTCGGGTGCTCTTTCTGGACTCCGATCAGTCAATGTGACACCTTGTATATCTTGGGTTTGGATCATTGTCATGGTTTTTGGAGTATGGGAAGAAATTTAGTTTTCTTTTGTTTTGGGTCCTGGGGATGCTCAGCAGTTATTCCTGGTGGTTCTCGTAAGTTGCTTTTGGCAGTGTTCAAGATCAACCCCTGTCAGCCTCATGCAAGGCAAATGCCTACCTGCTGTACACTTGTACGCACCAAAAAATGTTTTATTGTGTGTATGTTAAATTGTGACTGTGAGCCCATAGTGAAGTTAAATAGGACCAGAACAGCTATGCATCACGGTGGGTGCTCGCCTTAAAGATGCCGCCTACCTTCGATGTCCAGCATCCCCTATGGTATCCCAAGCATCACTGTGTCTGATTAAAACAGAAGCCAGAAGGATTTTTTGGGGATTGCTGAGCTCCTCCATCCCCACAACCACATCTATGGTCTCAGCCTCACGGGAAAAATATCAGAGCCTAATGCTGGGACTAGAGGGTCTTTAACCTCAGTGGGTGCTGCAATATGGAAATTTATTTATTGTATTGTTTTTTAAAGTTTTCATTAAAGTGCCAGTATTTTCAAAGTTATTGATAGTTGTATTTAGGCGTACAATAATTGAACACCAATCCCTGCATCAGCTTCTCTCCACCCGTGTTCCCGTATTCCCTCCCCACCCCAGTCCCCAGTCTACCCCCGCCTGTCATCTGGACAAGCACATGACTAGGTTTCAGTGGTTACAGCTTATATCTCTTATTTTCAGTTCTGTTGCATCTGTGTTTTGGGTAAATGGCTACACCCCTCACTCATGTCAATGGCATAAATGAATCCCTGATCCCTGTAAACGTCTGGGTCTCTTCCGCCCCGAATTTCTTTCCTTCTTTGTCCAGCTTCTCTCTAAACACTGGAATCAGGGATGATTTAAGTAGCCCCTTTATATTACATTTCCACATCCAGTGTTCGGTATTCCATAGATGAGTGAACATCATCCTGTTTTTGTTTCTTTTTCTGACTAACTTCACTCAAGATGGTATCTTCCAGTTCCAACCAGGTTGCTGCATAAAAGTATTAATTCTAAAACCTAAAAACTATATCACTTGATCACTTGATCCCACTTTATTCATCAATTTATTTGAGTGGGTGCCAGTAACGTCTCCATGTGTGCCTGTTGCGTGCTAGTGTAGCCCAATGGCATCTGTTCTTTCTAGGAACATGTGGAGCCTCAAACCAATTGTTCAGGGTCTTGATGAAGAAGTCTGACCATCTTATAGGTGGGCATCCACGTGATCTTTTGCCATCTCGTGGAATTCAGTCAGTAAAGGGTCTAGGCCAGTGGTTGTCTGTAAACCCCATTACATGTACAGCCCATCTGATTTTTGATACCTTGGCAGATGAGACAGCATCCCTGATTCTTGACCGTTGACAGAGATCAGAACTCTGGATTCTATCTCTTATTTGAATGATGCCTGATATTCCAGGCATAGCTCTATATTCCAAGCATAGCTCTTTTGATTCCTCTTTGAGAGACACAAGTAGCGTTCTCATCCTGTTTACATAGGGAC